TCATGCGTGCAAATGGTTGTGAAGAGCGTGCAAATGGTTATGAAGACCATTTTTATGGAATAACAGTTTTAAATACTACTATTGATTTTTCTCAAAAAATGTAGTTTTGATTCTTTTTACTTTTTTATTTTATTTTAATTCACATACAGTGGTTATGTTGTCCCAGGTTATATTGATAGGAGTATAAACTACAAAACCTATAACCATAACTGTGGGAATCAGCAACTATTTTTAATTTAAGTAGTGTATTATGTTATAATAAATATTACTTTTTGAAACATAAAACAAATTTAAGGTCAATTAGTCTAGTGATAACATATTGGGGCATTTAATTAATAAATTACCAACTTACAATCTTAACAATGTGATTTTTATCACATGCAAAACAACTATAATTGTGTAATAGTGTGGGGTTAAGCTTAGACAGACAAGCTATTAAATTACACCAATTAAAAAATTGCTTTAAAAAACATAAAAATAAGTTGAACTTATTTTTAAGTTGCATATGTGCAATATAACCAAACTTTTTTTTTAATTTTTTAAAAAATTTTAATTTTTAAAATTTTTTTATTTCAGATGATTAATAAGATATATTTGTCCAAAGCGTGTATGGACAACTGACAAACTAACAAAGTAGGTCTAACAAATAATTACAGCTATATTTTGTTGCATATGCATAACAAGTCTGGGTTTTAAGTTATTTTTTTTTATAATCTTTTTATATGTAGTAGCCTGGGTTTTAAGTTATTTTTTTTTATAATCTTTTTATATGTAGTAGCCTGGGTTTTAAGTTATTTTTTTTTATAATCTTTTTATATGTAGTAGCCTGGGTTTTAAGTTATTTTTTTTTATAATCTTTTTATATGTAGTAGCCTGGGTTTTAAGTTATTTTTTTTATAATCTTTTTATATGTAGTAGCCTGGGTTTTAAGTTATTTTTTTTATAATCTTTTTATATGTAGTAGCCTGGGTTTTAAGTTATTTTTTTTTATAATCTTTTTATATGTAGTAGCCTGGGTTTTAAGTTATTTTTTTTTATAATCTTTTTATATGTAGTAGCCTGGGTTTTAAGTTATTTTTTTTTTATAATCTTTTTATATGTAGTAGTCTGGGTTTTAAGTTATTTTTTTTTATAATCTTTTTATATGTAGTAGCCTGGGTTTTAAGTTATTTTTTTTTATAACCTTTTTATATGTAGTAGCCTGGGTTTTAAGTTATTTTTTTTTATAATCTTTTTATATGTAGTAGCCTGGGTTTTAAGTTATTTTTTTTTATAATCTTTTTATATGTAGTAGCCTGGGTTTTAAGTTATTTTTTTTTTATAATCTTTTTATATGTAGTAGCCTGGGTTTTAAGTTATTTTTTTTATAATCTTTTTATATGTAGTAGCCTGGGTTTTAAGTTATTTTTTTTATAATCTTTTTATATGTAGCAGCCTGGGTTTTAAGTTATTTTTTTTTTATAATCTTTTTATATGTAGTAGTCTGGGTTTTAAGTTATTTTTTTTTATAATCTTTTTATATGTAGTAGCCTGGGTTTTAAGTTATTTTTTTTTATAATCTTTTTATATGTAGTAGCCTGGGTTTTAAGTTATTTTTTTTTATAATCTTTTTATATGTAGTAGCCTGGGTTTTAAGTTTTTTTTTTTTATAATCTTTTTATATGTAGTAGCCTGGGTTTTAAGTTATTTTTTTAATAATCTTTTTATATGAAGTAGCCTGGGTTTTAAGCTCTTCTAATATGCAGTAATATCAATCTTCTAATATGCAGTATAGAAATTTTTAACTTGCATAAAAGTAATTTTAGGTGTTTCGGGTAAACTTGAGAATTATAATAAGTTAATAACATTGCAATCTAAAACATAGGGTTAGGATTAAAATATAGGGTTGGGATTAAAACATAGGGTTGGGATTAGTAAATACTAAAACACGTTGTACTAAAATACTAAAACACGTTGTACTAAAACGTGTTGTACTAAATGTGGACTAAAAAAATTATTACAGAGAGAGTCAACTTTAAAATCTGCAGCAATTTAAATCTAATTTTAACTTTAAATCTAAATTTAACTTTCTTTTACACAAATTATTATACAGACTTTAAGAATCAGCTAAATCAATTCCATTTAACAGTTCACAAATTATGCTGGGTACTGAGGTACTACATCTGCAAATATTAAGCGATTTCATGGCGTCATGCTTAGCAGTATGTCTCCTCAAGCATGCAGATGGCAACTGTTTATATTGAGCTGCATCATTAGTTTTATTTGGAACACAATAGAATGTAATGTTTAATAATGTAAAATCTGTAATTTTATGATAAAAAATCTTTTTCCATTACAATCTGATTTTGACTCTGATTTTGATACAAAAGAAAACATCAACCAACCTTCAAAAACATCAACCAACCTTCAAAAACATCAACCAACCTTCAAAAACATCAACCAACCTTCAAAAACATCAACCAACCTTCAAAAACATCAACCAACCTTCAAAAACATCAACCAACCTTCAAAAACATCAACCAACCTTCAAAAACATCAACCAACCTTCAAAAACATCAACCAACCTTCAAAAACATCAACCAACCTTCAAAAACATCAACCAACCTTCAAAAACATCAACCAACCTTCAAAAACATCAACCAACCTTCAAAAACTAACATTGCAACCTGTCAAATCAACTGCTGGTCTTTATCCTTTACCAAAAAAAAACTTTCTCAGTACACAAGCAATTTTAGAACTATTACATTACCAATCGGACAAATTTAGTATAGTTGATTGGATACCACATGGAAAAAAAAAATGTGTATTGCTTAATTTGTAGAAATGTGATGGTAGGTTTTAGTGACATTTCATATAACTTTGATGTAATTGATGACCATTGCAGTTTCTGGAACTCTAAACAATATAGAACAAACAAGTACTCATACATTAATGGCGACGATTATGGAGACGATTGCCTTAGTAATTAAGAAAGTATTGTTTTATGTGATGAAAAACAACATTCCTTACAACTTGCAACCTGAATGTTATTATTATAGTACAGACTTATTGCACATTAGTTGCTGTGATAACTTTAAAAGGGACATATTTGAACAAAAGTAACCAAACTGATTGTACTTTAGCTGTACTAGAATATATTAGTGAAAACATAATGAAACAAAAGCATGGGAATACGAAACATCCGAATGCTGGTCAATATGTTCAAACACCAGCCACTATATTGGTTTCCATAAGTAATATGCTAAAAGAAAATTGTCCATAAAGTATAATTTTAAATCTTCAATAAATATAGAGGATGTCCCGTGGGACTCTAATGTGATTTATTGTCAGAAGTCATCTAATAGAAAAAAAGAAAACAAATCAGGGTGTCAGTCAATACACAGTTTTTTTAATTAATATCAAGTCCTATTCATATGGTACAATTTAATAATTTTGTAAGAAAATTTGACTATGGCAATCAACGCACCCCAAACGTTACTCTTTACAATGTTAGACAAATTAGTGAAATTTTTGTTATTATTTGATATGACTTTGTGTGCAAAAATCTTGTACTTCAATGTTGACGTAAAGATAGACTGGCAATAATCCATTATTTATTCAATTTTATTCATGGTCACTCAGATTTAGATATTTTTTGACACTTTTTTGTACTCTGTATTTTAGAGAATGTAATACAGGTCAACTTATCTTGGGAAGAACTTGCATTGTGATGTGTGATGGATTTGTATTTTTGAAGATTTGGACATGTAATTTGCAGTAGACAACTATGGCAAAACGCTTTGGAAAAACTTAATTATGTCACCTGTACACATACCGCATTAAAAAATCTATTGCTAAAGGTATATTTAGTAACAAAGGTCTAACCACAGCACCATTGAGTTTGAAAAGGATGTTGAGAGATTATGTGAAAATGTTCTCAGAACATTTTCAGATAATTCAGGAACTCACAGATTTAGTTTAAAAGTTCAAATTATTGAAAGCCAGCAAATTGAAGCAGACCATTCTTTGTGCAATCTTAAATTAAAACTAGGCGATTTTGAACTAAAACCACAGACTAACAATTGACACTTGGAAAGGTACTTGAACAATAAGAAATAAGCTTTTTTGCAAATATTTTGAATAACAAATTATTTTGGTCATAAATAAGTTTGGAAATATTAAAATTGTTTATCTTATAATAATGTGTAAAAATACCCAAAAAACACATAACAATTAATGTTATATATATAATAATAACAATAATAATATTAATAATATTAATATTAGTACAAGTAACAACAATACTAATAATACACTAAAACAATACAATCGATTTGATCCAATCAATTTGATCCAGTTCCAAATGATATACTTTAAAATTGTCAGTGAAGTTGTCAACATCAACAGATGGATAAATGGCGATTTAATTGGCAAATAAATCTTTGTAAAAATACTTACTTTTTATGTGGGAACACATTATTTTTATTTTATTGTTTTACTGCACTATATGACTTATGCTCAAATAAAATGGTTTTTCAGACTATGGCGTGGTCTGGTGTAGTATTTGTATACGCCCCTTTTTTTTGTTTTAAACAACCTCATTACACATCACATCACATTAGAAACAAATTTAGATCAACAATCTGACATCATACTGACATCATACTAAAATTAAGGTTTCAGTACATACATAGACTGATTTAGGGAGAACATGCAAGGGAGTTGGTACAAAACTTACTGAGGATTAAACCATATATAAAAATGTCAGAGTTTTTTTGCATGGAAAATTTATATCGATATACACTATAGTAATTCTGCGTGTGAACAAAAAACAAAAAAATGTATTCAAATAAATTGTGGGACAATAATCCTATTCTCATGTTACATTCTAATACATGAAAAAAATAAAAAAAGTCATACATAACCAAACTCACAAACATGTAAGAAACAGACTCAAACTCACAAACTTATCAAAATATGGATAGTATTGTATATGCAGAAACATAAAGGTTAAAACAAACCGTTGACACTAAGGCAAGTTTCCTCTCAAGTTTTTTATTAGCTTCTTCCAACTGTTCATTAGCATTCTAAAAATATCAACAAAAAAAAAAAAATTAAAGATTTTTTATAAATGTTATGTTGAACTTTAAATAAATTATTCAAAATATAAGTTTTATTTTCTGATCATTAGTTTTCTTTATTTTAAATGAAGAACTTTATTATTGATTGAAAAATTCTCAAAACTTTTTAAATGTGACTATGTTGTTTTTCCCAGTGAGGTCTTCAGTTTAATTGTAAACTTGACAAAATGAAAATTATAAATAAAGAAAAATAACGCTTTTCTACTTTGTTTTATTTTTAAGTACATTAAAGTATTTTTTTTTACATTCAACAACTAATAATAATTATTAATTATTAATAATAAACATTACATCAAATTTATTTGCATTATTTTTCATTAAACCTGAAAAAATAAAATAGTATTTTTGGTTTTAGGATTTTATTATCAGAATTGGCTTTCAACAAATGTCAGTTAATTTTTAAATTTACATATCTTATATATTGATTTTAGTTTTGAGATATAGTTTTTTTATTGATAACAAAATTATATTAAGAAAAAATTAATAAACAGGGATTCTTAACAAGCTTGGAAAATTTCCTGAAAATTAACAAATGTCCCCTCCCAATTATTAGGCATGTGAGAGTATTTAAAAAAACTTATTTGTATTGATGTCATTTATAAACTACAAAAGCGCATTATTCAGACCAGTAACTTACCTTCAAGAAAAAAAAACAGTGTTCAAAAATCATGAAGTTGATTGTTAATATTTACAAAAATAATTTATTTTGGAAAGTATAATTGACTGGAAACTTATTTCTTAAGAATTATTCTGAAAATTGGAAATGTTAGCCACACAACTAAAAGCTAAATTAGTTACTTATATTTTAAAAGTAAAAACCTTCCTTTCTTGCATTCTAAAATAGCTACGACAAATAAAATTCATATGGTTACAGACAAAAAATTTATTTGCGTGAAAAAACAGTGAGATCTTAAAAAAAAGAAAATTATTCAAGAAGCTAAAGATACCGGCACTAGAGGAACAGCGGAACAAGGATCTAAGCATTATTTCATCATTAACTTATTAACTTAGAAACAGAAAGAAAAAAAAAATTTTTTGCATTTTGTATTACATTGTCTTCTCCAGTAGCCACTAATGGTATTGAACAAAACACAAATCTTAAATAGACTTAATGTTGAATGTAAATATGTTACTATTAAGAATACTGACTCTGAACAAGTTTGGCGTTTGGTTAATCTTGGAACTAAAAAAAATTTAGAAGGTTGTCTATACCATACACTTCTCAGTAATGACCTTGTAAATAACCAAATTAAATAAATATTGTAAATAACTCAATATTTCACATCTAAATTAGTCAAAAATAAAAACTTCTTCAGTCTCTAATCACATGACACTTTAACCTTGACAGTACTAGATTAATTACACTGCAACCTCCGCAAATGCACTGCAACCTCCACAATTACACAGCAACCTCCACAATTACACTGCAACCTCCACAATTACACTACAACCTCCACAATTATACTGCAACCTCCACAATTACACTGCAACCTCCACAATTACAATACAACCTCCACAATTATACTGCAACATCCACAAATGCACTAGCTTTTTATGAGACCTTTGATTCGAACCATTTAACGCAACACCTCGATTTTAATACTTTTCCATTAAACTTTATATTAGCCCAACTCTCTAGTTGCTATATTAAATGAAACTTCTCAACACATATCTTCTCTTAAAAGAGATCTCAACTTGGCTGTACCAAAAAAAGAAAAACTCATTTAATTCTAACTTGGATTTATGCTGTAAAATTTTTAAGCCCTCCTAGAAATCTGTTTTCTTCATCTCAACAAGATTTCAAAAATGGTAACTTTAATAAACTAAACATATATTTCAAAGATATCAACTAAGTTAATCATTTTAGAAATTTAAATATTGATAAATGTGATGAAGCATTACAATCTATCTATATTGAGGGATGTAATACAAATATATTGAGGGATTTAATACAAATATATTGAGGGATGTAATAAAAATACCACAAAAGAAGTAATCTCTGTAATAAAAAAGAAAAATAAACTTTATTATAGAAGCAAAGACCGAATCTGGCATCTGGACATTAAAAAATAATTAATGCAAAAAAAAATAAAATAAAAAAACTTTGTTCATTCTACTCTATTTATTATATTCATTCTATTATATTTCATTCAATATCCTATGTTTAAGGGTTTTATTTGTATTGTACTGCTGTCTTTAATATTTGTATGGGTTAGGAATATTTCTTTGTTTTAAATTTCTTCTATAACATGTTACACATTCTGTTCAATTTTTTAAGATTGATATAAATCAAATTACATCTTGGACCACAACCTGGTGCTTGCGCCATAACTACAAAAAGTTACTTCTTTTTGCATTTTACAAGCTTTTTTTTTAATATTAATTCACCTCCCCAAAGCTGAGAAGGCCACTTCAGTCTATGAGGCTACTATAACAGGGTGTCTTCTAATATTTTAAGGTGGATTTCCCTGATCTTCTGCCTATTTTTCCTGATTTAATTTAAAATTACCCAAACTCAACTTCACAAAAATTGACCTTGATTTGTTTAGAAAAATGCTCTTCAACTGCAAAAACATAAACAATAATACAAACCACATTAAATGTATCAAGTGAAGTTCATAAAACTATCTATAAAATAAACTTTTATATTACTGTACCATTGAAAAATATCCTAAACAGCACCACTAAAGCAATTCCAATTCATGAAGCGTTATCCAGCAAAGCCAGATTATCACATCTTCATCTCACCTCACTAATGAAAGATGCAACAGAGGTGATTTAATCTACTGACAATTTACTGACATTTAATCTACTGACAAGCGCTTGCATTACAATTAATTACTAAAATACTGGCACAGCTCATCCTCTACTGACAACGAACTAGGTTGCAACCCCTTCCAAGCGAAACCTTTAGCACCACCATATAATAAACTTTTACATTTAAACCTAAAAAACCAGAAAATTATTATAAGAAAAATTAGTTAATGGTTGACACTGTTTTGCAATTGATTTGAATTTTTGTATACTAGGGCCCTTGTGTTTAAAAATATCAATATGTTATCAAAAATAATTAATATGGGATTTTGGGTGAGATATAGCTCACACAATTATTTAATCATTATGTAATGTTGTTTTTGAATTATACATTTGTATATTTTCAATTATGTATATATTGGCATATGAATTATACCAATATATACATAATAAAAATATATAAATTCATGAACATGATGTACGGCAGGATTCTGTTGTTTTTTATTGTATATTTTGTATCGAATACTTAGGTGACATCAATTGCTGGAGTGACATCAAGTGAAATGAATGTTGGATTGATATCAAGTGATATGAATGCTAAAACTAAATTCTTAACTAAAATAGTCAAGTTAAATTCAAAATTATTCAAAAAATTTTAAAAGTACTTTTAATTCTTTATTAAGATCTTGTAGACAAGCATATTCTTCATTGCACTGTTTCAAAGAAGACTGGGTCAGCAAAATACTAAAAGTAACAAAAATAATAAACAATAAAGATCCATTAAACTTTATTAGATTAACAAAGATATTCTGAAACACTACTTTGATTTCAATTCTGTGTGCTCTTTAACCATAAGAAGTTTTGCCTGTTGAAGTTCACTTATTATCCTTTTCATTTCAAACGGAGTTCTATGATTAAAAATATTATTTTCAAATTACCATCTGTAAATTTAAATCAAGGAAAAACACCACCATCAATCTTCCATAAAATATACTTTTTTGCTGTTGTACATAGATAAAAAAAAAAAAAAGATTACATATTTAAAAATAAAATTATATTGCAGTAAAACCTGATTTTTGATTCACCGCTTACTGTATCTGCAACTTCAAACTGCGATAGCAACTCTTTCAACCTCTAAAAAAAGCAATGTTGAAAAATTTTCAATGAATAATTTTTGACAACCTTACACACATGTCATTTAGAAATATCCCTCATCTATAAACACCACTATAGTTCTAGCACAACTTAAGTCCAAGTCCAAAAATTATATAAAACACAACTTAAATCCTAGTCTAAAACTTATAAACAGCACAACTCAAAAATTAAACTTTAATATTTCATTAAAAAAAAATTCTGACTAAAAAATACAAACTTCATTTTCAAATTCAAAATTTCGAATTCTCTCAATAGTTTCATCTGCTTTTAATAGTTTTTCAGTGAGATCTTTATTGGTTTCTTGAAGAATCAATATTTTTTCTGATGACTCTCTAAATAGTTTTAAAATCAAACAGTAAAAAGTTATAACTTGAAACATTCATAAAAATACTTAATAAAAAACAAATTATAAAAACAAAAGAATTTATAAAATAAAATTGAAAAAATAAAAAAAGTGACTGAAGTAATAATTTAATAACAATTTACTTACATATGTTTCTAATATATATAATATATATAATATAATTAAGTCTATGCAATAGTAGTGTAGTGGTAGAGTTCTTGCTTTTTAATTTTCAAGTTTCATCCCTACCACATCCCTAGTTTTACTACGCTTAACTTGTTTCTCTAAGCAGCAGCCTTGTTCGTCTATGTTTGTATTTTTAAGTTAAAGAATTGAGAGAGGGTTGTAACCATGATTAGAAAAAAAAAGTAACTTCCTCAACTGGCTCTTTCAGCTTTGGGGAGGTAAAAAAAAAGTAGAAGATTTTATTGAAATAAACAGTTTTTTTAGTGATGACGAAAACTTTATTAAACTTTTTCTTAATAGTTCTATAGCAAAAAAAAGTTATTGGTAAATTTTTTCATTTTTACATTTTTTTATTTGTAGCTAAGTAAAAAAAGTTTAAATCAAAAAAATATTTATATATATAAAAAACATATTTCTAAAAATATATTTATTATAAAAAATATATATATTAATGTTTAATTTATTTTTCAGAGATTTTTATTAAAGTTTTTTCTGAGGAAAAAAATTTGCAAAAAAAATGTTTTTTTTTTCTAAAAAGAAGATTTAAAAATCTATTTAAAAAAAATTAAAACAAACACATAATTTATAATTACAATACAATTTATTATCATTAATTATTATTATGCATGAAATACCTATACAATTGGTTATCTTCCTTAAGAATTTTATTTTCTCTTTGAAGGATGCGAAGCTTTGCCAGTTCAGCTTGATTAATTTTTGTGATAAATGAACTTTCATTTAAGCGTGAAAAATCTTCCTCTAATACCTTGAATGAATAAAAATTATTTTAACATGACAACCATGATGGTGAGAATCAGCTCAGACAATCAGCTTGATTAATTGTGACAATGATAATAAGCTCAGACAAGTAGCTTTGGAAAAATATGCAAAGCAAACAGGAAAAATTTTAAGAGTATTAATTATAAATACATTATTACACTTATAATTAAGACTTTTTAACAAATTCACTTCCAATATGGATATATGCTACTATTTAAGTTCACAGTTACTAGAAAGTAGATAAAAAATTTGGTTGTAAGCTACTATTTAAGTTCAAAGTTACTAGAAAGTAGATAAAAAATTAGATCATAGGCTAGTGTTTAAGTTTGGAGTCACTAGAAAAGAGATAAAAAAATTTTGTTGTAAGCTACTAATTAAGTTCAAAGTTACTAGAAAGTAGATTAAAAATTAGATGGTAGGCTAGTGTTTAAGTTTTTAGTTACTGAAAGTAGAGAAAAAATTTGGTTGTAGGCTACTATTTAAGTTCAAAGTTTTTAGAAAGTAGAGAAAAAAATTGAAGCTATAGTAGGTTCAACTAGATTTAGAATATGTTTATGGATCTTGTCTAAAAGAGAAATAAAATCATTAAAAAAATATATGACAACAGCATTTCATACAAAAAGTTTTATTGAATACATGATTTACAGAGGTAGAAAATGGAATCAGAAGTAAAAAATTAGCTAACATGATAAAAAAAGCAACCTTGATCCTATATCCTATCATATGATAACTACAATAGATTGGATGGATAATATCCATGAGAGACTAGTAAAAAATAGTTAAAATAAAAAAATAAACACAGGAATAAAACCTTGTGGTACCCCAGAGATTACTGGAAATGAAAGAAATTCGAACAAGGATTAAAAGAGAAAACCACAAAAGGAACTCAACTTTAAAGTAGTTGAAATAAATATGAGTGGATTAAAGTAGTTGAAATAAACATGAGTGTGTTGAAATAAATGAGTGCATTGAAATAAATATGAGTGTGTTGAAATAAATATGAGTGGATAAAATGTACATGATATATAAATAGTCTAGATGTATAAACAATCTATCGCGAGGTAAAACATAAGTGGCAATGATGTTTATCTGAAGGGATAAGTAATAGTTATTGATGTTGAACCCCTTTGAAACATCAGTAATAATAGACGCAACTCTGAGGAATAGTTTAATACCTACCACTACACAAACTATCTTTATAAAAAAACATTTATGCTTTTTTTTTTCATACACACTGCATTATCTTAAGATTGTTTCATTTTAAAATTAAATTTTTACTATATATTTATTTTTATTTTTGGTAAGTAATACTAAATTTTTTTCCCTAAGTGTTTTATACTTGTCTTTGGACTATCATTGCTCGGCCTATTTAAGCAACGCAGATTTCTTGTATCAAAAAAATGATAAAAAAAGAATTGATGCATAAAAAGTTTAAATGTGAGATCATAACATAGTCTAAACCAGCTAGGATCAGAGACTAGACATAAACCTATAACCATAGCTAAGGTCAGAGACAAGACATAAATCAAGAAGCAAAGGTATAAGATTTTAGTTGTCTAGAAAATGAGTCACAAAGATGGCTACTTGGGTAAGAAATTGAAAAAGATAAAGGTTTTGAGCTTTAGCATCAAGGTCAGTAATTCTAGAAACCAAGCCATTCAGATTTTTTTTTTAATTTTTAGAATCTGTCAGATTAGTCAGCATTTGATTTAGTAGCTCATAACTTTGTACCTGCTCATAACTTTGTAAAATTTCAAAAAAAAAATTTCATAACTTTGCAAAATTTCAAAAACGATTGTATTTAAAAATATAACAGTAGATTATGATTTTAATAGATTCACATTTCAAAAGAAAACTTCAATTCAAGCATCAATAGCCTTTGGTTGTTTACCTCTAAAACTAGTAATTCATAAAGATAGAGTTATCTGTGTTAAGAAAGAAGAAAAAAAAAAAAAAAAAGAAAGACATAAATAAATGAACTAAACAAGACCTTGGTAATGGAAATGATTAAAGCAATTTTGATATTCCTTCAAAATCATAAAAATAAAGAAATTACTAATTTTGGTTTCTGAGAGTTTTCTGAAATTGAAGTGTTGGATAATTATCAATTTATTATTATTATTATTATTATTATTATTATTATTATTATTATTATTACTATTATTATTATTATTATTATTATTATTATTATTATTATTATTATTATTATTATTATTATTAATATTATATTTGTCTACTCATTACTATTTATTATCACGTTTTATTTTTTTATCTAATTTGTTTTGTTTGTTTTTTCATTAACAAGGTTTATTTTAGTTATATCATTTTTTTCTCATAAAAAACATTTTAATCTACAGACAAATTATTTAAAAGTCATAACAACACTAACTGTTATTATTATTATTATTATTATTATTATTATTGCTATTATTATTATTGCTATTATTGTTATTATTGTTATTACTATTACTATTATTATTATTTTTATTATTATTATTATTATTATTATTATTATTATTATTATTATTATTGTTGTTATAATTATTATTGTATTACTCTAATTTATCAATTTTATTTATAACTTTGAACTGAAACAATCTATTTATATAAAAATTTATTTTTTAAAAAAATCAATTGTCAATAATGAATAAATAAACAAAAATTTTAATAAAATCAAAAAAAAATTACAGCAGCTCTCTGTTCAGCTTTTAAACATTTTAGCTTCAAGTCTTCATAGTCAATTATTATTTTACTTGCTTCTTCATAACGGCTAAACAACAATGAAACTTTATTAAACAATTATTTACTATTAATAAAAGGTGACAAATTATATCAAGTTACAATAAAATGGAAAAAGCCTCCTACTCTGATAATGTCACAAGATTTTACTATAATTCTACTTTGATGATTGTTAAAACATGAACTTCTGATAATTTGTCAGCATAAGATAAAGAATAAATAGTATAGAATTATAACATAAGATAAAGAATAATTAGTATAGAATTATAGCAATAGATGAAGAATAAATAGTAGCATCAACAATTTTCTGAATTTTTACAATTTTAATTATTTTTTCATTACTTTTTTCTAATTCTAATTTATTACTTTAAAAAAAAATTATTTTATTGGTGTCATAGCATGATCATTATTGATAAATTTGCTAAATATCAATATTTAGAAGGATTCCAAAGTGCCAAGACATATCAAAGTGCCAAGACAAGATGTGTTCATATCATTTATAAACTTTAATTAATATAAATAAAAATAAGTTTTAATTTAATCAAACTAAAACAAATTCTTTATTGAAATAAAAAACATCAATTTTTAGAGCCATTTTGTTTTTTGCAAATGAAACTTACAGTTCTTCAATTTTTTTTTTTCTGATGTGATAAATTCATTTATGCAGTTTTTGACTTCAAAATAAAAAAGTATTTTTTTATTAACTTAAAATCAAGTTCTAAATGTAATGTTTGAAAAAAATTTAAAAACAATTAAATCTTTTTAACATTAAAAACTACAAAACTCACATTGTAAGACAAACGGGACAGTTAAAGAGGTTACTTATTAACTTTTTTTTTTTTTAATTATTAAAAAAAAATTTATAATTTTTAAATAAAGTTTTTTTAATTTTATTAACAAAATTAGTGAATTAAAATTTTTTTAAACCAAGATTTTTTTTTTAATTTCAATTTTTTTATATCAAAGATTTTTTTTTAATTTCATTATATCAATGAAATTAACAAAAGCAACAAAGTATCTATATTAATTTAGAAGAAATTAAGCTATACATTTTAATGATATATTTATATGATAAATTGTAAGGCAGCAAACACTAAACTAAAACACTAAACTAAAAATGCAAACACTAAACTAAAAATGGGAAAATCCATGCTTGTTTGTAAACTTAAAAACTTTAAAACTCTGTGGTTACACATTCATTATTCAAATCAGATATTTTTATAAGAGAAAAAAATATACAGAATCATAAGCTTAATATTAGATTCATAACTAGAAACAAAATGGCAAAAAAATAAAAAATCTTTTTTTTTCCTTATATATAAATGATTTGTTTTGGAAAGTTTAAACTATTTAAAAGTTATTTACTGATATTTAAAAAATAAATACAACTTGTCTCAGCACATGGAGGCTTTTAATAGCTTTATTTACAACCAAACTTTATAAGAAATGTAAATACATTCTATTTCAAAATCTAGTATTATTTATGTATAAAATAGAAAACAGTTTTAAAAAAAACTTTAATTAAAAAAAAATCTATTTAGCATAAATTTATTCAAAACTCTCTTTTTTTTATTACTTTTCACAATTTTTCTTTCTTCCTTACTTCAGACATAAGTTTGACATTTATATAGTATAATAATGCAGTTCAGTGTGTGTATACAGTTTAGTAAAATTATGCAATTTATTGTGTGTATGCAGTTTATTATGTGTGTTCAATTTAGTGTGTGTATGCAGTTTATTATGTGTAATTTAGTGTGTGTATACAGTTTATTATACGTGCAATTTAGTGTGTGTATGCAGTTTATTATGTGTGCATTTTAATGTGTGTATGCAGTTTATTATGTGTGCAATTTAGTTTGTGTATGCAGTTTATTATGTGTGCAATTTAGTGTGTGTATGCAGTTTATTAAGTGTGCAATTTAGTGTGTGTATGCAGTTTATTATGTGTGCAATTTAGTGTGTGTATGCAGTTTATTAAGTGTGCAATTTAGTGTGTGTATGCAGTTTATTAAGTGTGCAATTTAGTGTGTGTATGCAGTTTATTATGTGTGCAATTTAGTGTGTGTATGCAGTTTATTATGTGTGCAATTTAGTGTGTGTATGCAGTTTATTATGTGTGCAATTTAGTGTGTGTATGCAGTTTATTATGTGTGCAATTTAGTGTGTGTATGCAGTTTATTATGTGTGCAATTTAGTGTGTGTATGCAGTTTATTATGTGTGCAATTTAGTGTGTGTATGCAGTTTATTAATGTGTGTATGCAGTTTATTATGTGTGCAATTTAATGTGTGTATGCAGTTTATTAATGTGTGTATGCAGTTTATTATGTGTGCAATTTAATGTGTGTATGCAGTTTATTAATGTGTGTATGCAGTTTATTATGTGTGCAATTTAGTGTGTGTATGCAGTTTATTATGTGTGCAATTTAGTGTGTGTATGCAGTTTATTATGTGTGCAATTTAGTGTGTGTATGCAGTTTATTAATGTGTGTATGCAGTTTATTATGTGTGCAATTTAATGTGTATGCAGTTTATTAATGTGTGTATGCAGTTTATTATGTGTGCAATTTAATGTGTGTATGCAGTTTATTAATGTGTGTATGCAGTTTATTATGTGTGCAATTTATTGTGTGTATGCAGATTATTATGTGTGCAATTTATTGTGTGTATGCAGTTTATTAAGTTAGAAGTTATTCACTTAGAAGTAAAATCAAAATATCAAAGCAATTTTTAGGTAAATCAAACATTTTTAATGTTCATAATTTTAAGCTATTAGAGGAAAAAAAACACTACATATCATACAGTGTATCAAGCTTGCTATATATCAGTGTATCAAGCTTGCTATATATCAGTGTATCAAGCTTGCTATATATCAGTGTATCAAGCTTGCTATATATCAGTGTATCAAGCTTGCTATATATCAGTGTATCAAGCTTGCTATATATCAGTGTATCAAGCTTGCTATATATCAGTGTATCAAGCTTGCTATATATAAGTGTATCAAGCCTGCTATATATCAGTGTATCAAGCCTGCTATATATCAGTGTATCAAGCCTGCTATATATCAGTGTATCAAGCTTGCTATATATCAGTGTATCAAGCTTGCTATATATAAGCGTATCAAGCCTGCTATATATCAGTGTATCAAGCCTGCTATATATCAGTGTTTCCCAAAATGTAGTAACTAACAGCACAGTCAATTTTAAAAAACTCAATAGTATATTACTAAAGATCTTTAGTATATTACTAAAGATGTTGTAAGTGTTTTCTGCGCAACTGATAATTACTTCCATTAAAATTATTATAGTACTTCCATTAAAATTGTTATTGATTGAAAACACTAACGATGACAAAAGTTAATTTCAGTAACACTCAGGAAATTTGAATTTTTTTGGGAAGTTAACTTTTAATTTATCAAACTCTAAAAGTATCATTTTAATTATTTCTTTCTTGTATAAAAAACAACCTTTTGTAATTTGAAAGTTGTGAAGTTAATTCCTCAAGTTTATTTCGAAGGATTACAACTTCTGTACTTTGCCTACAAAAAAAAAAATCTATATGCAAAATGGGTACAAAAGAACTTGAGTAAATAGAAGGATATCTTCATTAGATGTATCTTCTTAGATAATGATTATATAATCATCACATTCAGTTACAAACCGTGTAAACTTTTCCCTTTGAGATGAAAGTTCAGCATGATGATTTTCCTCCATCTAGTTAAAAAAAAGATTTTATAAATAGAAATAAATCATATATAAAATAAAAATTAATGTTACCATAACAATCTATGTAAAACTTTCTAGAACGAATAAAAATTTCAGTTTTTTTTTTTTTTTTTTTTTTTTTAAAGCTTTTAATACTTTGATATTTAATATTTTAAGCTAATAAATATTTTTTATGAACTTTTAAAAAAGTTACAGTAAGGGATTTTGTTTTTAAACCATATTAATCTATTAAAACCTATTCTATCAATTATTTACCAAATAAAACTACCTATTGAAAGCGCAAAAGACTTTTAATGTACACACAAAAAACTTTGCAAAGCCAGATCTTTGCTGCTCATTAAAGAAACCTAAAAAAGTACTTTATAAATGCTTTAAAACAAGCAACAATATATTTTTCAAGCAAACATTTATTTAGAGATAAACTTTCTTGTTTTCCCCTTCGTTGTGTAGATAGTTAATTATTCTATTTGCTTTATTGAGTATTAAATTCCATCGGTGCAGAAATATTTGTAGCTAAAACTCCATCATTTAAGTTTAAAATAAATATGGTACAGCAAACTTTTTGTGTTATAAAACTTTTTTTTCTTTCAATTTTTTATAAAAAAATTAAATTGAATTAAAAATTTCCATTAAGTGAAAATTAGAAACAAATTTTCACTTTATGGAAATACTTTTAACACTTACTATTACTAATATCATTTAATAATATTATTTAAAATATTTAATTTGATTTTTTAATATTTATATCAATTTTTACAAAACACAATTTTTACAAAAGTAAATATTATTAAAACATAGTTATAAACTCATTTCAAAAGATAGATTATTTCTTTTATAATTTTTTTTCTAAAGGAAAATACACAAATTACTAATCCCTTTTACAAATCACTAAATTGGTAACTGAAAACTGAATAAAATATAATTCAAAAGAGAATCCAACTAATTCACATCCTTCATAACTGGATATCTTTACCTTGATGCAAAAAATAAACTTGTTTATTAATTATAATTACTTATAAAATTTTTCTAAATGAGCTTTAACTTTATGCAACTATATGTCAACTTTATGTCAACCAAAAATTTATTAAACTTTATGTCAATTATATGTTATTAAACTGATATTCATAGGTTTAAAATAATAGGCAAATATATTCGGAATTGAAGGAAATGTTTTGACAAACAAGTTTATTTTTATTTTTATAATTCTTATTAAGTTATTAGCTCATACCAAAAACCAAAATTATACAAAAATAAATTATTTTAAAAAAGATTAAAAAGAAAATTCCTAAACGATAATTAAAAAAAAGTTTAAGACCTCAAACAATTGTGATTTTAATTTTCGACATTCAATGTTCCATTTTTTCTCTTCATTTTCATGATGCTGTTTAACTTCTTGAAGTTTTTTCTTAGTATCGATTAATTCTATTGATGCTGCTTCATTTTGATCAACAACAGTTTGAAACCTATGAAAGAAATGTTAAATGACTTTTAAACTTTACCATATAGCAATAACTTTACATTAAAATATATGCTACCATATGCTATTTAATAAAATGGAGGCTACTCGTTAAGAGGTCACTACAGTAATTGAAGTTATTTATAATGAGGTCATTACAGTCAAGGAGGCTACTCGTTAACTTTTTCATTTATTTTAAACTTTCTCAACTCATGATTTTTAAAACCTATTAAATGCTGCACAGAGATAATCTTTTTTGTTGTTTTTTGTTTTTGTAAATTCACCACCCCAAGGTCGAGAAGACCACTACAGACGAGGAGGATACTTAATTATGGTTATAACCCTCTCTCAAATCTATAACTCTGGAACACAAACCTTGATGAACAAGGCTTTGAAAAGAGTTGAAAGTTCTACCACTTGTTTACTACTGCATTTTTACATTGCAGCATTTACAATAAAAATGCAAAGTATATATATTTTTTTTTAATTTTTTTTTTAATTTAATTCACCTCCTCAAGGCCGAGAAGGCCATTACAGAGGAGGAGGCTACTTATTTGTGGTTATAACCTCTCTCAACTCTATAACTCCGAAACACGAATCTTGATAAACAAGGCTGCTGCGCGGAGAAACGAGTTGAGCGCGGTACTACCAGGGACGTGGTGGGGATCGAACTCGGAACCACTCGTTTATGAAGCGAGCGCTCTACCACTACACCACTACCGCATTATACAGTACCCTACTGTATATACTTAGCATTTTTTTACATTTTTCAAATTTAGTACTATACTTGAGTGCAGTACTTCAACAGATATGGTTTTAGTGTATTAGCCAGCGAGTGAGTACAGTATTGAGTACAGTACTTCAACAGATATGGTTTTAGTGTATTATTTTTTGACTTTTAAAGTTTTTAAAAGTCAAAAAATAAAAATAAAATAATGATGATATCTTGTTTTAATTTTCAAAATTTGACATAAATAAATGATTGCAGAGATTTTTTATCAACTTAGATATAGTGTCTGCTAATAAACTTCCTATAGCGTATGTGTACTTCCTGTAGCGTATGTGTAACAATTTCAAGTTTATTTAAACTATAACTAATGGAATCAATTTAAATAATACTTTTGTATGTTGAAATAAAAATCAATAACATTCTTATTAAATTTTATTTAACTTTAACATTTATTACAAATTTTTTTTGATAAGAAACTTTTTTTATAAGAAACTAGTACTACAAAAAATTAGTAATACAAGCTCCAAAATCTTAAGTAAAAATAATCTTAAAAGTAATCTTAAACTTTTACTACCAAATTACTTTTCAATAAGAGACTTTTAGTACCAAGTTACTTTTCAATAAGAAACTTAAAAGTCTTTGAACTCATTAAGATATTTTCTAATTTTTCACCTACATAACTCAAAGTTAAAAAGCATCAACATAACATAACATTTAAAGCATTATCTACAATAGATAGCAATAATTTTTATAGAATTCTATTTAATTGAATAAAATACGTATATCTTATTGGCAAACTTAAGAAACTCTTTAGAAACTTTTAGTATTAGATGGGTAAAATACACTTTAAATAATATTTCTTTTTTTTTTTAAAAAACATGTATTCACAAGACAAGTTTTTATACTGCAAGTATGCCAATATCCAGTAACTAAAACACCACACACCAACAGTAACTGAAAATACAATTAAACTGCTCAATAAAATAATAATTTTTCAAGCAACAAAAATAATCTTTATTTAATTTTGATTTAGAATTTATAAATTATGATCATTTTACTTTTATCAATGTTTGATAATTTGCAACATAAAAATTATTAAGCTTAATAACTAAAAACTATTTTGCATTAAATACATCTTTATAATTAAATAAATGTTTATAATTAAATACATCTTTATAAATTACTTATAGCAATAATTGTTTTTATAAAGTCAAATTATATAAAAATAATGCATATAGCAAAGAAACAAAGTTTATTTAAAGCAAAGAAATATTTAGCATAGCAAAGCCTTATATTCAATATAACATTTAAGATAACATTTATTATGAAATTATCAGTTATTTTCGTGTTTAGATTTTTTCAACACAATTGTTATACTGTTATCGACTTTTGCTTCTACTATGTCACACATTTTTAAAAAATTTTAAATTTTCCTTTTTAAAATATTCCAAAAGCAAAAAATCTTATTTTTACTTGATTTAAAATATTTTTACTGTATGTGCTCATCGTTGTAATTCCAGCTGTTAATTAAAATCAAAATATTATATTTTATAATTTTAAATGGCTGCTAAAAATAAATTATAACATTCTATTTGACTATCATTCTATTAGTCTAAAATTCTATTCAGCTAGAAAAAAACAGGAAACCTTTTTGATTTTGCTTATTTAATAATTTAGATTCAATTCAATTAATTAAAATGGATAACAAAATTGTTTTCAATAATGGAAAATATTATGATAAAAATTAAAAAATTTTAAAAATATATATTCTTTAAATACGTTTTACTTTTTTTTATAATGGACAATCTTTTATCTTTTAATTTGTCCCAATCATTACACATTTGGATAGCACCCATAAAAAAGAAAACTTACTGTCTTCAATAAATTTACAGAGAAAATTCATTTTAATGAAATAAAAAATTAGTTTGAACCTGTGATTGATAGCTCAGCATAAGTTTTCTTATTCGGAAAATATTTTATTATTTAATGGTCCTCTGACGATTCTAGAGCAACCCAGATATAGTGGGGTGCTCTAAAATTGGGTATTGTCCAAGAGAAAATTTTATGGAGTTTTATTCCGAAAAATTTTTCAAAAATGGTTACATTACTTACATAACGAGGTTAATAATTAGCAAAAAAGATGTCTGTAAATTTTTCAAAATTTTAAAATGTCATCTTGAGGTTGCCATCTTAAAAAAATGGAGTTATTTACACTTTTTTCAACTTTATATTAATATATTTGAAAAATAATTTTTTGTTATGTTATTAGGTGTATATATTAAAGGTTATCAGATGAATATTTTGCCACATTTTAGAAAAATTGGTCAATGTCTAGAGGTCGCCCTATTAAAAATATGAAGCTACAAAACCTTTTATTTTGTAAAATCCTAATAAAAGTGTAAATAAAATTCAATCAGGCTATTTTTAGGCTTTAATTTTTTAAGAATATTTATTAATAAAAAAAATATGAATAATACAAAAAAATACTATAAACTATTAATAATTGATAGAGTCTTGATTTCAAATAAGACAGATTTTGCTTCCTGTGTTGTTCAGCAACTTGTAAAATAAATTAACCTCGCTCTTCATTTTGCACACAATCGTGAAAATTGCCAATAAGTTTGATTTCTTTTTTAGCACAATCATTTGTTACTTTGGTTTAAAAAAATTATCTGCAATTTAATAATCTCGGAAGAACCTAAATTTTTTTCATTTTATTCATTTTTAACTATTTTTATTCAAATCTAATTCATCTGGAACCATTCTTGATCATTTATTAGTCCTATTAAATTAAAAAGAACTAAAGACACTGGTCAAATAAAAAAAGATTGAAGATTTTAATGTCAGAAATTTTTGTTTCCCAATTTAAAAAAATTTTTGGTCTTGAGGTAAAATGCTTAGTCTAGCTTCTTGACATTCTAAACATTTTAAAACACCTAGATCGATGTTACCTGTCATGTGATATTTTCTGCTTCACTTTTGATCATCATTTATTTTGGTCTGACAATTTTTCATTAAATAAAGATAAAGTAACAAGTTATCAACTACAGCAAATATGAAAATCCTAAAGTGAAAAAATGCATTGAATAGAAAAAGATTAAACTTAGCCATGAGTGGATTATAATTCGCTCATCACCTACATAATAAAGTTATCAGAGTTTTAAAATATATATAAAATGTGTATATATATATATATATATGTATATATATATATATATATATATATATATATATATATATATATATATATATATATATATATATATATATATATATATATATATATATGTATATATATATATATATATATATATATATATATATATATATATATATATATATATATATATATATATATGTATGAAATTTTATATATATTCTAAAAATTTCATCTTTAAAATATATATAAAATGTGCTATAAATCTTGAATTATGAATTGTACCTGATTTGTGAATTTTAAATATTCTGTTCACCAATACTTTTCCGCCAAGGTAGATGAGAGTTAATTTAGACAACTCAAGATAGTCTTCTTGTGGAAATATTTAGTTGGTAGGCCCATTTCAGAACTATATTTGCTTGATTTAATAATTCTGATTTGATGTAAGTAGGTGATCAAAAAAAGTTTGAGTAATCAATATCAATTTATGAAAATTCTGCTTGAAAATGTTTAAAATCGGTTCGTCTGGACTCTTGCTATCTTCTTATAATGCGGTAAATGCATATTTGATATGTAGCTCGTTTTGATGATTATGACAATAGCTAAAGGAGTGACCTTAGCTCAATTTTGATAAAAATTGCTGCCCTTTTTTATTACCTGAATTGCTAGCTATTGTATCAAAGCCAAATCCAAAAATTTTCAATTTTTTCCTGTTGAATCTTTAATTAAAGGTACACCAATAAGTTTTGGCATGCAATTAAAAGTTAAGTTAATTTCTTTGAAATCAACAATAAGAAATATACATAGTATACAAACAAGTACCTGTTTATCAGTTATTATAAGACCAGCTTATAATAACTGATCAACATTCTTTATTATGAGCTATGTCTAAATAAAAAAAGCCTCAAATCCTGTGAGAAATGAAATGTTTTTTTATTGGTAAGCGATTGAAGCTTGACAAGTTATCAGATTCAGGGTGACTAATCAACCAATCTTCATTATTATTTCTGAGGTTCATCATTATTATAAAATATTTGTCTATCTAATAAACTAGTTTCAAGATTATTTCAAAAAGATCAATTTTGCGAATTGGTATAACATCCAACTTTTATATAATTGCATACTAAATTTTATATAACTACATACAGATGTTTATTTTGCAATGCAAATAATTTAATCACACAACAACTTTTGTGGTCAATTATGCTCAAAAATATATTTTGAATACAATCCAATAACTTCCTTTTAGGCATTAAGTTTATAAGAACAATTTTTTGATAAAAGATGTCAAAAAATGAAAAACTTTATGATATGGTGACCTCTAGACATTATTTAATTTTTTTGAAAATTTGGCCAAATGTTCATCCAATATTCTCTATTATATACACCAAATAACATATCATTAACTATTTTTTAAGTTAATAAAACTTAAAAGTTTATAAAAGTGTGAAAGACACCAATTTTTCGAAATAGCAATCAATCATTTTATAATTTTTAAAAATTTACTGAGGTATTTTTGCCCAATATTCTCCGTTATGCAAATAATGTATCTTCGAGAAATTGTTGGGAATAAAACACTTCGGGGGAACATGATAGGATAGAGGAAAAACAATAATTTATTAATACCACATAAATGTTGTACAAAATCTAATCCTGGCAAATACCCTAGATATGAACACCGTTCTTCTTGCTTACAAAATACACAAAATATATTATAAAGAAACATACACAAAATATATTATAGAGAAACGTACACAAAATATATAAAATAAAATAGAAACACAAAATTTTTTTAAATTAAAACTCACTTTCTTTGCACATCCTCATAAATGGATTTTTCTTTTAAACTCTTTAGTAAATTTAATTTATGTTGTTTTTCAATTTCAATATCTTTTTCAACGGACTTGCTTTTCAAAGAAACAAAATCACTTTCTAATTTACTTAATTTTGCTTTTGTTGTTACTTGTTCAATTTTTTCGTCATATGATACAGAACTGGAAAGTCTTTTTTTAAACGAATGATCAGAGGCTTTTTGATTAGGAGTTTCAATTTTAAAAAAACCCGAAGATGAATCAAATGAGTTTAAACCAAATGTTAGATCTAATCGTTGACGTGCTGTTTGTTGAGATGGCCAATTTAAATAACTGTTTAATTCATTAACAATTTTAATTACAGAAGTATTATCTTCAGGAGTGTTCGGAAACTCCATTTTTTACCTCATTTTTTGTTTTAAAAACCTATAACAATAACACAATATTTTAGAAAATTTGTAAAAAGATCTTTGCAATCATTAATAATATAAAATTTAAAAGATGGCTTATAATATCATAAAATATTTTCATATATTTTACTATGGAAAGATTTATGCTAAAAATTACACAATTTTTAAATATATGAGTCGCTAACTTGAAAAAGGGGACATGTTATGTGAATTTTTGCAGGACATGTCGCCTTTTGAAAGTTAGCGCTTCATACAGACTTATGCACTGTATTAAAACTAAAATAAGATTTTTAAAAAATTTAAAAAAGTACTTTAATTTAATAACACCTCAAACTAACCAAATTTATATACTTTGATTTACTTATGATAATTTTTTTTTCAGTTTTTAAAAGTTATTAGAAACCTTATTTTAGTTTTAGCTGTTAAACAGCAGAAAGCGGATAATAAAAAAAAAATAGCAAGTGTTATAAAACCATTTTAGAACTTTCCGATTTTATTTTATAAGAGTAAATTTATTATTTATAATATAAAAGGTGCTCTCAACTGCATGTACTTTACAAATACATAAATTTATGGTTACTTTTAAAAACTAATTTTTTAAAGTTTGTAAACTAATACTTTATCTGTTATTTTATTAGTTGAAAACAGTAAACAGTTAAAACTGTGAGACTAAATTAATTAATAATATAGTACTATATGCAGTACTTTTACTAGTAGTAGTATATAGTATTATATGCAGCAATTTTTGTTTATCCAAAACCTAATGACTAAGACAACCACAATTGTTAGCATAGCCAAGAAAAATGTTTTCTCTAAGTTTTTTATAATAATCAAAAGCAATTCTTTTCACCCAAACCTTTTTATAAATGTTTTAAATAATCTTTTTAGATTTTTGCACAATGGTCCCATAAAAAAAACATGGATTTGTTTACACTTGCAGCACAACATTTTTATCGTAAATTATTATTAAATATTTGAAATAAAACCTTACATATATTACACCATTTGTTTTGTAAATTGTACAACCAAAATTCGTGCGTACCCAATAACTAATAGAACTTAAAATAAAAAACAAAGAAAGAAGATAAGTTAAGTTTTGCAGAATAATTTCATTGACTTTAAAGCTTTTAACAAGACCTTACACAGCAAAGCCAAGACTGTTGCAAAGATACCACAAGTTGGAAAAAAAAAAAAAAATTTAATATTTTATATAGTTAACTTTCTATTAACTTTGTCTTCTTCTTACTGATAATACAATATTATCTTATCATACCTTTGATATTATTATTGCTTATTATTTTACTTTTAATATTAATATTATTGCTCCTAATCCACTGTTATTATTACTTTCAATAACTAATTATTAATTTAATTTACTACTTTGTTACGATTGCCTATTATATTAACTATTATCATTACTGTTAGTATTAATATAATTATATTTGTTATTACTATTATTATTTTACAATAATTGTTTTGTACCATCGTAGGTCTTTACACTTCATCAGTTTTTAACTGTTTATAAATGTCCCTCATTTTGTATATGTATATACAGTTATTAAGTGGAATTATATTGATTGATTGATTAAAGCCTAAACCAGATATAAGACTGCAAGTTCTAAGTTTAAGAATACTTACTGTAAGAGCAAAACCAAAATTAAGAGGGACAAGGATACAATAATCACATTTAAGCAAAGGAACGTAATAAAAGTTTTCTTACATTATTTAATATATAAGATATAAGTTTTTGTTGCAGTTGAGAAACAGTTTCAATTAGAGTGAAATACAAACCTTTTGCAAACTCATCAACTTTTTTGGAAAAATGCATTAAATTAGTGTTGTTGCCTGTCCACAAAAAACTTGTCAAGAATGCTTGCATTATGTTACTCTTTATAGATTTTAATATATTTGGGTAGCAACAGATTTTAATATATTTGGGTAGCAATCTCTATTAACTACTCTCCTAATTCAATTACTTGGCCTTAATGAGGTTAATAAATAAAAAGTAAAAAAGAGTATATTTCTTATTTATATATTATATTTCTTACTTAATTTTATTATTTATAATCAAATACCAAACTTTATTCAAAAAATAGTTATTTTAAAAATCAGATTTTGCAACTGCAAAACTGATTTTAAAACTTTTAAAAATTTCTTAAAATCAGCATCAAGACTCCTTGTATTATACCAACTGATATATTCTAGGGTTTATATTTGTGTTCAGTAAACTAAGAGTCCTGAACATACAACGAAATATGAATAGTTTTTGGTCTTTAGAATTTACCTAACTCAAACCAAACTAAGTAGGTAATTTCTAACTGATAAAAATTTTATCCCATAACTTATAAATAACCAATAAAATTTGAACTATACTAATAAATTGTTTTAATTATTATAAACTCTATTACTAAAAAATTTGAGCGAGATATCTTTTTTTTGCTTAAAACTCAAATCACTATGATTTTTAAACATACTAATTAATAATTGACTACAGTATATCTAAAAACATTTTCTCGGAACTAAAAAACAAAGAATTCTGATTCTGCCCCTGTTAGCAGTCAACCTGTGGTAATCTGATTAAAAATTAAAGGTAAAACTATTATTTTTAGAACACGTTCTGAATTGCTATAATTCAATATAAATAATATGTAAAATACAGTTAATATAGAAGAAATACGATTCTGTTCAAATTTAGTCTTTATGAAAAAAAATTACACAAATAAATTTAATTTTATTAGGGTAATAGAATAATGCTTTTGGGGCTGTGATAGCAACCTGACTAACATTTATTATTATTGTTGTTATTATTGTTACTATTATTATCATTATTATTATTATTATAAGTGTATTTATATATTGTATTACAGTGATTTCTGTACAGCTATAAGAAACAGATAAAAAATTAGCCATTTTCGTCAATATTGACAAAAATGACTAATTTTTTAAATTTTAAGATTTTATGATTAAAACCTATTGACAATGAGTTTTAGTCATCAAATCTAAAAAACAAGATTATTTATCTCATGAATATTTTTCGCAAAAAGACTCATGAGAAAAACATGTTTGATGTTTAATGCAGTAAATTTTGTTTTTCAATGAAAAAATAACTCTAAATGAAGTAGCAAGCCATTACAACATAAACAAATAGATTTTGATTGGTTAAAACAGTTTAAAAAAATTACAAACAGCGAATATTCATATATACATAGGATATCAAAAAAATAATGTGTAATTTTCTTTTTCGTAAATGATGGGTCATTACAAGAACTAATTAAATAGTTTAAGGTTGATGTTCTGAGGATAAACTAATACTATACAGGCTATGCTTAAGTGGGCCTTATTTGATTCCGATGACGTCACGCTAATTTTTTTTAAATCAAATTAAAAAAATAAATATTTGTGTCAAATAACTCATGCTCAGATTTTCAAAAGGTCAGTAGTTTTGGGCTCGATGGTCTCGTTTGATGACATCACTAACATTGAAAAATAGTGCTTTTTTTTTTTTTTTTTTTTTTTTGCGTTTATATATGAGTAGATACAATCATAGTCATAAAATACATCTGTTATTCTGACTATGGTACAATCGGAGGTACGGAGCGGATCAGCAGATCGGATCATTTAAACGGTACAAACGGCGGCGGATATTTTCCGTTGAATCTACGGCGAATTTTTTAACAGTGGATATTAATAGCTATATATAGCTTCTACAGCCGTTTTTCAAAACGCCTTAAGATCGAAATAGATTTTTTTATTACTATTGTTATTATTGTTATTATTATTATTATTATTATCATTATTATCAAAACTATTGTAAAAACGATTTACGGAAAATAAATAGCTTGTTCATGTTGTTCGGACAGAAAATTGTGATTCAGAATCGTCTTTAAGCATCCCGAGTCCACAATTCAAAGCAGCTTATACTTTGGGTAACATAATATCAATCGGGTCCTTTATTGCTTGAAATTGTGATAATAAAGACTCGGGCAATCTCACAACAAATGCCAAACGTACTGTCTCTTCAGACAATTTCGCAAGATAAGTCAATCTTTTTAAATCAGCCAAAAACACATCAGCTCTCTTTCCACCGTATAACTTTCGTTTTGTGAAATGCTCATATGCACTGTAAACAGACAATGAGAACGCTGCTAGCAGCACTTGCTCGACTTCCTTTGCATCTTGCTTATCTTCAATGGTTAAAGCGTCATACCTTCTCTACAGACTGAGAGTAAGGTGAGTTTGGGAAGAACGAAGATATGTTAGAGTGAAAGATAGTCGAGTTAGAAAGATACCATAGAGTAAGCGGACAGAATTGCACACAAAGTTAAAGAGTGCAATACTTACTGTTAGTTAGGTCACTTAACTAATGTACGCCGACAAAGTTGTGATTGGAGTTCACTTAGCAGGAACTCTTCCTCGACTTTCTTTGTCGTCTTTGTCGTCAAGATGTTTTCTTTTCTTTACTCAATGAGAACTTGTCTCTTTCAAAATTATAATCAAAACTTATACAAAATCATATACCTCAAATATTACAATTAAAAACCACGTAAACATATTTACAATTTCACCTTAACCTTATGAACACATTAGCAATTACATACAAAACCGTACAAACATATTAATTACAATTATCAAATATTAACGCACTTAAATTACAAACCACTTGACGTCACGGAACACTGTAACATTTAACTTATAATTTACAATTTATGTGAATGTGACTTACTGCAATATAATTTACAAAATATGTGAATGTGACGAGAATGATTATTTGTAAAATTACATTTACAAATAATCATTCACGTCAATATTTAAATTAAAAACTAAAAATGGATTTCAATTTACATAAAAATCATTGACAACTTTTGACTTTTACTATATGGATATTAAAAGTTTAATAATATGTTTTACGAAATAATTATCATAAATAATTTATAAATAATTTACAAAAAAAATTTTTTGCCTTAAAGACAACTTCAAGACAAATGTTAAAGTTTAATAAACATTTATGGTCAAACGACTTAAATTTAAAAATCAAATAAATGCTATTTAATTTTTATAATAAAGCTTTTCAGTTTACCCGGGATAGTTTTCAGCTCGAGTTCACATGAAGAATTTTCAGCCTGTCTAACCGAGATCCCGGTTGGTCATAAGTAAGATTTTTATTGTACACCGAGTGTAGCTCTGTAGCTGTACACCGAGTGTCCAAGACTATCCTCTGTTTTCGGATACCGAATTTTCTTCAAATATTTGTCCAAAATTTATTATTTTTAGCTTTACAATTTTTCCAAATTCCATAAAGCTAGAGCATGTTTTGTGACTTAGCGAGCTGAAAAGTTCAATCAAAGATTTTATTGCAGCAATTTTTTTAGATGCTCTTGTATTTTTGGGACGTCCAGTAGGATTTTAATAAGTTGTAGCTGATAGGAGAGATAAATATATTAGTTCAAATTATAATATCTTTGGCAGTAATTACATTAACGTGCTATTTGCAGAGCCGCCGAGAGGGAGGGGCCATCGGGACAGTTTGTCCCGGGCGGCAGATATCTAAGGGGCGCCAAATGAAATTTAGGTGTCTAAAAAATAAAAATAAAAAGAGGTCCTTCATATATCATATAATATAGGAAAAATTTGATAAATAAGGGCGCCAATCAGGATTGCTGTCCCAGGCGGCGTGACAGCTCTCGGCGGCCCTGGCTATTTGTAACTTTACTGGAATAATGGCGTAACATATTAATAAAGAGAATTGTTGAAAGTTTAATAGAGTGTATTAAGAGTGGAGTTAAAAAATTAAAATAATTTTTTAGTTTTTTATATAAAGTAAAAACTTTATGCAATATTTATTTAATGTTGTTGAGATTAGTTTAGAATAAACTGAACTAATAGAAAATTATTAACCGTTGTTTTTAAAAAATAAATTCAAGTCGTATTGAGCCCTCTTAACAATCAATAATGCAATGTAAAAGTTTTTGTCTTTTTTTTTTTTTCTAGGGCCTTGTTAATTTTGCATTTTGAAAAATTATCCTTTTATATAAAAAAAAGTAAAAAAAAATTAGATAATTTATTTACACAAAAAAAGATAATAGACAAAAATCAGTTTTTTAAATGTCTTGTATCAAATTTGTATCATTTGCAAAAAAACTATGATTTAAGGCTACCCTCTCAATATATATTGGGCTGTAACCCATAATGATAACCTTTTTAAATGAAGAATTACTTTCTCCATATGCATCTATTAGTCATGGCCGACAACACTGTTTTTTTTTTTTTTTTATATTACATGTAAAATAAGCATTTCGTTACAATATTTCAAATACAAATATATAATAATAAATTTATATATAAATATAATGGTCGTTATTAGAAAATAAAAGAACGCGAGGACTCGTAGAAGACCATACGGTCTTGTCGTCGAGTACCGCTAAGAAATGTTCGTGTTAAAATTTAAAAGATAATTACAAGATTAAAAAATAAAAATAAGTTAACAAAAGTAAGAAACTTAAAATACTCCATAATAAATACAAGATGCGTTATATCTATTATATATGTAAATTATAGTTGTTAATGATATACATATACTTTTTATAAGTTCATGTTTAAATAAATGGTAAAAATAAAGATCACAAAAAATTTCAGAAGTATATTGTTAAATCATCGATTGTAAAAATGAGTTCTTTAAGCTTTTGTTTAAAAGAAAAGTAGTTACTTTGATTAATAAAATCCTCAGTAAAATTTTTTAAAACTATTTTATTCCATAAGAATGGTCCGCGATAATCAATACAAAATTTAAAAAGATTTGTTTGAAAAATGGGCTGCTTAATAAAATTATTATTGCGTAAAATGTATTTATTTTTATCTTTTAATGAATACAAATAATGGAAAGAAATCGGGGATGAACTGGTTTTACATTTAAATATAAAACAAAGAATATTAAAAATATTAATCTCATATATATTAAAAACTTTAATTTCAAATAAAAGAGGCTTGGCATGAGTATAACGGTCTTTAAAATATATAAGACATGCTACATGCTTCTGCTGACAATAAAGAGGTTTAAGTTTGTTTTTATTTTCACTACCTCAAGCAATGTTTGCATAGTTTATGTGGCAATGAATAAATGAGTGATATAATTGTACTAAAGTTTGTTTATTTAAGACATTTCTCGCTTTGTACAATATTCCTATACTTTTTGAAATTTTACTTGATAAGTTTTTAATGTGATTTTTCCATGTAAGATTTTCACCTAAACAAACGCCTAGAAAATTAGTTACTGTTACTTTTTTAATTTGTATATTGTCAATAACAAGTGGAGGCATGTTAATTGGCAGTTTATGTTTTTTGGTAAGAGGATGGAAAAGTATCCATTTAGTTTTATCAATGTTAAGGGATAGTTTGTTTGTCTTAAACCAGTCAGATATTTTGATTATCTCGATGTTCACGTTATGAAATAAAGTAGGAATGCTTTTGTGAGACATAAATAAATTAGTGTCATCAGCAAACATAATTGTTATTAAATTCGAGGCTTTGTATAGATCATTAATATAAATAAGGAAGAGAAGAGGTCCTAATATGGATCCTTGATGAACTCCACATGTAATATTTAACAAATTTGATGAAAATGATTTATCAGCATAAACAAATTGTTTACGATTATTTAAATAACTTTTCAACCATTTTAAAACATTGCCTATTATACCATGTTATTCTAATTTTTAATAAGAATTTTATAATCAATTGTATCAAACGCTTTCGCTAAATCAATAAATATTCCCAATGTAAATTTAGAATTGTTAAATGAGTCTGATATACTTCTTGTAAGCTGAATAATTGCATGTTCTGTTGAATTATTTTTTTGAATTCATATAGCATGTTATATAATAATTTATTTGTTAAAAGGTGATTGTATATTCTGTTGTACAAAATTCTTTCTAAAATTTTAGAAAAAACAGAGAGGATGGAAATTGGGCGATAGTGTTTTGCATTAGTTTTTTCTCCTTCTTTAAATATAGGAATAATTTTTGCTATTTTTAAATCATCAGGAAAAACTTCCTGATTAATAGAGCATTTAAAAATTTGGAAAAGTATGTCTTTTAAAACGTCAAAATAGCTTATAATAATATTTCCGTTGACATCATCAGGACCAACTGCTTTATTTGACTTTAACAATTTAAAAGCACTTTCAAACTCTTCAAAAGACAAATCAAAAGAATTTAGATACGATTTTAGAGGGTCATATGTTGCTTTTGTTAATTTTTTAGGGTTCGGAATTTTATTTCGGCTAGGTTTGATCCTACAGATACAAAATATTCATTAAATTCAGAAGCAATTGATTTTTGATCAAGAAGAAGATTATCATTTACTTTAATTACTGAGGGCAAAGATTGCGACATTTTTTGAGTGTTACCAGTAGTTTTGTTTATTAGTTGCCAAGTGTGTTTAGAGTTTAGTTTGTATTTTTCAAGTAAATTAGTGAAATATATTTTTTTTGAATTCAAAAAAAATATATTTCACTAATTTACTTGAAAGGGTTTTTTTTAAGGGTTTTAAAGTGAGGGGGGGATCACAGTCTAAATTTCTAAAAAAAAGTCCTCTTTATCTAGAATTGTCTTTTAAAAAAAAGGTACTTTAGAAAAAACTGGGGAGGAACGTGCCCCCGGTTTCCCTGTTGTCGGCCCTGTTCGTTACGGCCTTATAGCTATTATGCCCTGAAAATCAAGAACACCATAAGTGAAAAAAGATAGATTTTAGCATATTTGTCTAAAACTATTTATTATTCAAAATGCAAATATGATATAATGTTCGTTTTGACTTTAGAACCAGTTATCCTTTATTATAAAGGATAATTGGTCCCAAAAAGCCATTTATCAAGTTTATGCTTTTTTGATTTTTTAACTTTTTCTTGATTTTTTGCACGTGCAACATCTTATAATAAATTATATTCAACATCTAACAAAAAAAGTCAATTTTTGTATATTGGATGTTTGGTAGGGCAGTATTCTTCTGATAATGTAACTTTGCAATTCAATTTTGGCACATAATTCTTTTTAAAGCGCATGCATATCTTTTTAAAATAATAAACTTCTCATGTTTGATGAATATATCTTATCAAATATCAGAAATTTTGTTATTATTTCTATAAAGTGATTATCTGATATTTTATTATATCTCTTCGAGATATAATAAAATATTATTTCAAGTTTATAAAAGTATCGATGGAATCAATCTTTTTTCTTACAACAAAAAGTATGGGGCGAGTTATTCACTCGATCCAGCCTTCGTCAAAGGAAAGGAATTTTCATTCTTTCAAAATTTTGAGCATCGAGAGAGACTAATATACTCTGAGTTATAAAATGTCAGCAAAGTTTGACGGTTCTCGGGGACCACCTCAAATTGAGGGCATGGTTAGCTTAAAAGTTGATAACCTAACTTACAGAACATCTATGGAAGATTTGGAAAGGTCGGTTTTAATTTTGTAATGAAATTTAAAAAAGTAAATAAATTTTGGATCCTTTTATTGGTAGTATTCAACAACTGGCAGTTGATTAATAAAAATACTTTTAAAATTTTATCATGTAGATACTTTTTTTATGAAGTGGTTTATGATTATGTAACTGTCAGGCTTTTTGTTAATAGTTTAAGCTTTATTTTATTAGACTTTGTTAAGATTTTTTTTATCTATTTCATAATTTTCGAGTTAAGTAATAGTAGCTACTGTATAGTTATTATTAGGATTAAAACTTTTTAAGAATATCTTATTAAATTAATTTTAACTTTACTATAAACTGAATCTCTAGTCATAACCATAACTCAATTGTTGGTCTAGTCTAACTATAGCTTTATTACAACAGGGTTATAATATAACCAGGTTTTTCTTTTTCTCTTTTTCCTTTTCTCTTTTTCCTTTTTTATATCTTTAATATAGTGATTAAAAGTGTCATAATGATGAAAATAATCTTGCTACGAGTTTTTAAAATTTTTTTGAAAGTTAAATTTTGATTGTAATGCTATTTTTCTGTTATAAGTCAAAACAGTAAATAGAATTTTTAACTTGAGCTTTATGTTGTGTAATTAGGGTGGTATTGCGAGTTAAATTTAAGGAACTAATGTCTGTTAAGTTTAAAAACAACACTGACTGCAATCTTATAAGTTATTCTCTCCAGCCTTTGTTTAAGGAGTTTGTTTAAATAATTTAAAATTTTGTTTTTGCACCATTTTATATGTTTTATGTTTCTTTTTTAAATCTTAAAAATTGGATTTGAAGATTAATTTATTTTTAAAATTTGGCTTAGTTAAAAAAAAAAAAAGCAAAAACATTTTTGACCTTAAATAACTTGTTTCCATATTATTTGGTATTATTGTTTAAAGAATTGCAGTTCACTTGAATATTTGCTGTGCTGTTGCTGTGCTGTGAATAAATTGCAGTTGCAGTGTTCCTGTATTTTGTAATTTGTCAGTTCCTGAGCTGAGAATATTTATAAGCTTATAGCTGATATCCTGTGCTGTGAGCAGGTGATCCTGTAAAACTCAAAAACAATATATTAAGTTGCATATACATGTTATCTGTATTGAAAAATGTCAAGATACGAGCGGCGAAGAACGCCTCCGGACATTTCAGATTTGTACAGCATCAAAATTGATAACTTATCTTCTCGAATCAATATGGCTGAAATGGAGAGGTTACTTTAATTTATTTAGTAATATTTAAGTGGAAAGCTCAGGTTTATAGTTAAGTATGGTATCTACATGAAACATGTTAAATTGGCTACTTTAAGGGATTTTATTAATTGACTCACTATCCACAACCAAATGTGAGTTATTTTTATATTTAATGTTTTCCCTTAAGGTAGTTATTAAGTAGATATTAAATAATATAAATATTACAATAATGCAGTTGGTGTTATTTTACATGTTGACATGAATATAAATTTTTAGATACTTCAAAAAGTATGGCGAGCTTGGTGATATTTACATCCCACGTGATAGAAATACTCATGAATCAAGAGGATTTGCTTTTGTCAGGTACTATGAAGAAAGGGATGCTGAAGATGCAATGGACTCGATGGATGGAAAGGTTTTATTTTAATGGTTTTAAAGACTTTCATTTATAAAATTATAATTTAATTTTTTTAAAATTTGTCAACAGTATTGTAATTTAATTTGTTCTGTTAGGTGATTGATGGTCGTGAAATTCGTGTTGCAATGGCTAGGTATGGTCGTCCTAGTAATCAATATGATCCTGGCAGAAGATCCAGGGGTGGCGACAGAGGATATGATCGTCGCAGTAGCGGATATAATCGAAGGCGCTCACCACCTAAACGGTATTAATCTAAAAGTTATTTAGTATAATTAAAATTACAGATTTTAGACTTTTTAGTTATTATTTTTTTTCTTTTTTTTTTCTTTTCAGACGTCGGTCTCGTTCACGATCCAAATCTTATGAACGAAGGCGCTCACGATCTCGTTCTCACAATCGTAGAAAATCTGTCTCAAAGTCTCCTAGAAAGCGATCTGAATCCCCTCAACGCCGTCGATCACATAGTCGTAGTCCTGTTCCGAGACAATCAAATAGTCGTTCAAGATCTGGGTCCCGTGATGTTTGAGTTAACTTATGCAAATATGGATGCTCTTTGTATTGATACAGTTTTGCCTTCAATAGTTAACTAAAGTGACTAGTTAATTGTATATATTGCTAGCTGCAATCTCAGCTTTTTTTATTATTTTTTATGTATGTGTTATTTAAGTCAACTTTTATTTTGTTGGGTTTAGGTGCAGACTGTTTAGCGGTCTCATTGCAGTTAGCTGTTATCATCTGCTAAATTTTGATATACAGGATTGTACCATATCTATTGACATGTAATGAGGGTTAATATGTTCCTGTGCAGTTAAAAAAGATTCGATCGTTGCATAAACAATAAAATAATAATTTTGAAATTTAAGCTGCAATGTTGCTGCCATTGTCTTTTAAAGCCATTTTCAAGTTATATGTCAGGATGTTGCTTATTACTGTGAGTTTCAGTTACTGTCAATCACTATTTATAATATCCCGAAATGAACATTCTAAATTCTATATTAGAAGATTTTAGCCTTTCTGTCATGAATAAATGTAAAGTCTCGGTTTAAGAAGAGATTTAAGATTATAAAGGCGTTATTTTTTAATTTTTATGACTGATTTTTACACAAATCTTACTTAATTGCTTAGGAGTCACAGGTAAAGTCGTCAAATTTTTTAAAATTAAATTTTCAACTAATAAATCTAAATGGTTTATTAGTTAGTATTTCTAAATATATCACTGTAAATTAGGCAAGCTTTAAAATATTTAAAAGTTCAAATATCAAAATAGACATGTGTTTTTGTTGTTGTTTTGCGTTTTTGTTGTATTTCCGATCTGTATATTGCGTTGTCGTTTCTAATCGTAGCTCGCTTTCATTCTATAATTTCCAACGAGACAGTGGGACAGAGTGGCAAAAAATCAATGTCGGCATTGCACTGTGAAAATTTGTTAAAATGGTGATAGCATGTTCATTAGTGGAAATATCTAGAAACATCAAAAATTAATTTAACCCTTTCGCGCTTAAAATATAAAACTAGGATCATGATCAATTGAAAAAGTATAAAATAGAAACTACTTGTCAGAATTTTAAAAACAAGACCTTGTCTAAGAAATGGATTTCAGAATATAATATTTCAGAATAATAAACTTTAAAAAAGTTTGGTTTATATTAGTTACGTGATTAAAATACATTTTGTTAAAATCCAAAAAATTATAAGTTTCTTTATGCAAATAAAAAATGCTTAAACATATCTTTTTCTATATTAAATTAATGTAGCCTTTATAGTGCCGATCAAATAAAAAAAATCTTTACCACAATCATTGAAAAAAATATAAATGGTCTCAATTAAATCAATATAATCTGTTTTTCGTCATTTTTTAAAATTGATTTTTGAGCGATCTATATTTGCAATTAACATACGGTTTAAAGAATTACCTAAAGAAATTATTCACAATTCAAAGATAATTATAAAGTTTTTACCCAATTGTTATAGATGTTTTGAAATATTTAAAGTTTTTTATGCACCACCACGCGGGTCACTCGTCATTTAGATACAAATTTTATGAACCGCCATACGGGTCGCGCGTCACGAAAGAGTTAAGCGTTATAGGCCGGTGTCTGTAGCTTTAAATTCTTACACTTTCGTTATACACATCGAGTAACTAAGTTTTAAATTTACTAACTTGCGTTTTAAGTATTCTAAAATCTGACATAAAAATTTCAATAATTTCTAAAAAAGTGCGCGTTTCTGAAGGTTAATGGGTATAAGAAAAATAAAAAGTTATATGTATGTATATATCTTCATGATAACGCAAGGGAGGGCATCGGGTTGTAAAATATTACTTCAATTCTTTCATAGTGGCATATTTATGTCACTATGGAGAACCATCCAAACCACACAAGTGTGGAAACATGGATGTAAACATGACCAAAATATATATATATATATATATATATATATATATATATATATATATATATATATATATATATATATATATATATATATATATATATATATAGCGAGGAACAATTACAAACAGTTATTAACTGTATATACTTTAGCACGTTAGGATAACCTAACCTGACACTATGTATATGCAGTTATTAAATTTATTGATTTATTAATTCAGTGTACGTGTTACCCAGCAATTTATTATTTTTTTTTATTGAAAATTATTAATTGTACCAATTGTTTATTAAATACTGAACTTTAATATTTTATCAAATACTGTTACTGGATAGTAACATGCATTAACTATTTTTTTTAACCAAAGTTATTTTTTTCTACTACAACAGCTTAACGTTCGCTTATAACTATAACTAACCAAATATGAAATATTAACCCACCTGGTAATAATTTAGATTTTTTTTTCTTCATGTTTGCCTCCCTCTCCCGCCTATAAGTTCTGTAATTTTTCTTTGCTCATTTTTAAAAATGTTATTATCTATGTCATGTGTTGTTCAATCATCATGTGGATCAATCAATATAATTTTTTCCTTTTTCTTGATTAGTTTATTATTTCAATTAAATGTATTAAAATCGGTTATTTTACTTTCAAGTTCATTTCAAACATATTGACCCGAGCCCCAAACATATTGATTCAAGCATATTGACCCGAGCCCCAAAATTTAGGGTATAAAAAATATTATAAAGGACTTTTTTTTAGACATTTTAGCCTCTGGCACATAAAAAACCCTTAAAAACATTAATAGCCCCAGACCCCAAGAAGTATTAATCTCACACTACCAACACCTTTTGTAAAGGAGCGTTAGAAGTGAATAAGACCGTCTTTTATTATTCTTAAAAATCCCCTAGTTTATTGAAGAGTACTTTCTTTTTTGGTAGAACCCCAATACAGCAGTGTCAGGGTTTTTTAGGGTTGGGGGAGGGGGAAACCCTATTTGGTCAACTAAAATAAAAGGTCATCGGTTTCTTTGATATTTACGAACTTACAAATTTGTAGGTGAAAAAAAGGTGGGGCGAATCGGTTTCCCTGGATTTTTTTTTAAATTTATTAAGGTGACCCAAGCAGACCTAATGGCTTCTTAGAGCACCTTAACAGTACACTGCCACAAGAAGGTTATCATTTAATAAGTAACTTATTAAATGGACTAAGTTAGCTCTCCGTTTCCGATTTCACCGAATAATAATAGACGTTCAAATTTAAATTTAATTTGTTGGAAGAAACTTGAATTGTTATTTGAAAAATGGTTAGTACATTTTTATGAGCCAGAGCCTAAAAGTGACTAAAAAAAAAAAAAGATTCTCAAAAATTTTTGGGGCCATCAAATTTGCGGAGCCCGGGGCTATAGCCCCCTCCTTGATACGGTGTTTTTATTTAAATTTTTTAATTGTATTAATAATATTTTGAAGTTTGAAATTTTTTAGAAGTAGTTACCCCCTCCACCCCCCTTTGTATGCGCCACTGCGACTGACTGGTTCAAATAGTCTACATTGGCCGACTGATTTGTCATAATGTCATCATAAATGACAAATAATGCTTTTAACATTTTGTGGTTATGAAAATAATCTTTTTTTTTAATCAATAAATGTGAAAATGAAGAGCTTAATGTTGGCTATAAAATGTTGGCTTTTAATTTGAATTAACGACTTTCTTTTTCTTTTTGGTAAAGGATTATTTTCAATACCTATGATATTATTGCTGTTAGATTGAACATTACAATTAATTGGACGAACTGAAAACTGCAACTTGATTGTATTGTCGTTGTAGCCAAAATCTCTGATAGACGGATTATCTTTTCTGCGACCAATTGCACGTTGTTTACCAAAATAGTTTTCAAGGTCATCTTGGCAGAATCTCTCAGAAAAAACAAATTGAACACCATTTTCAAGTAAAAATTTAACAACTTCTTTGAATGAATGCACTGTAATTTGCAAACCATCATAAGTTTGTGAAGAAATAAACATTTTTGATTTTGAGCTCTCATCAAAATTTCCTTCTCGTTGATCTATAGATTCTTTCTGCAATTTAAAGTATAGGAGAAAGTTATCTAACCAAGTAAATCGTGAATCATCTACTGTTTCGTATGGTTTTAAAAATGGCTTTCTTTTCTTTATATATTCAGCACTATTTTTTACATTTAGACAATTAAAAAAACATATCCATCATTAAACAAAATTCTGCTGTTCCAGCAGCTTCTGGTGGTCGAAACTGCTTTAAAACATTTCCGACTGTTTCGCTCAATACTTGGGATGCAAGTTGTACTCTCATTACAGAATACGGTGTTAAGTTTATATAATCGCTTGTTAGTTTAGGAACAAGTTTTAAACCTCTTTCTAAATCGGAATTATAAAATGTTGAGATATGATTCCAAAGAAGAAAAAATCCACTATTCCACATGTAGCGTGATTTACATCCAGAACCAGAATTACTTAGGCAGTTTCTAGAAGTTTTAATTAGATGAGGTATATCTGCAAAGAAAAAGATGAATCTTTTATCATTACTAAATAAGTTTTTAGTGCGATATATGATGTTTTTTCCTGAGCCACCATCTAATTTCTTATGCATTTTAAAAAACTTCCTATTTGGAGATGCACCATCTGCAGTTGCAGCAATTACTTTCAAATTTATACTTTCTAGATAACGCACTGCTTTTCAAAATATTGGCATAAGTTGTGTAGATGTTACTCCAGTTGTGGCAAATGTTGCTAGACTATAGGAAAGTGGGTTTACATGAAAAACATAAGATGCTAGCACTCTTACATTTTTAAGTGTTGCTTAGTTTGTTTGAATATCTCCTAAATCTACAAATCCAATCAACTCACCAGAGTATTTATCCCAGACCAAATCTTCTTGAACTTTCATTTCGTCAAACAGAATTGTAACAAATCGTTCAGCACTAGAGAAACTAGCAGTTTTATTTGCAAGATCACTTATGACTTGAGGATTAAAACCTCTTGAAGGATGTATACAATTTTTAAAGTCTCTCAATGTGCATAAACTTGGAAGAACTATAAACCCTGAACCAGTCTTACTATCAAAACGCAAATCAGAATATGCTGATAAAGACTTAGCTGCTAAATTAAGGCAAAGTTTTATTATCATTGGATGATACTTAACACTGCAGGGACTAGAAGCTTGAATATATTTTTGCTGCTCATTCCAAAATAGTTTCATGAAGTCTGGAATATTTTTTTGATTAAAACCAGAATACATTGTTTTAAGGTCTTGGTCAAATTATAAATTAACCTTTTCACTTTCCATATTTAAAACTGTTTTCATTTGTTCAATTTGACTTTCCAACTGTTTGCATTTTAAACGTTGTTATTGCAAACTTAATTTAATTCTTTCTGTGGAGGTAAACTTAAGAGGAGCGTTCAGCTTTGCAGGTTGTTTTAAAGTTTTAGCTTTATTATTTACTTCATAATTAGATTTAAGTTGCAAAGAATGGCATGAAGAACAACAACTTTGGGATTTTATTAAAACATTACAATACGGTAAACGATAAAACTCATCTTGATTTAATCTAGGTTTATGAGGAAGTAGCTCAAAAAGCAAGTAACTAAATTTTTTAGTTATAACATGTTTTTCAAATTTAAAATTTTGTTTGATTAAGTCTAAATT